GCCAGCCCGCCAGCCTAGCCGCGCGCCTCGCTCCTTTCCCCTCCTCCTGTTTTTCTCTTGGGCCAGCCCAGCTTGATCGGATCAACCGTTGCCGCGCCCCTCTCTCTCTCTCTCTCCCTGCAGCTGACGGCTTGGGCCCGCGTGTCGGCGCTGCCCCCAACCTCCCACACCACGCGCGTTAGCCGCAACCGTCGCTCCGCGCCCACGTCGCGCGTCGTGGGAGCGTCCCCCGCGCCCGGCCTCTACAAATGCGAACCGAGCCTTCCCCGCTCCCTTTTCGCACTTGCTCGAGCCGAGGAAGCCACAACCGCCCCATCGGAGAAGCGCTGTGGTCTGCTGTCTTCCCCTCCACGTGGATTGCCGTCCCCAAGCCGACTTCGACCTTGTTTGTCACCGCGGTGAGCTTCGTCACCTTCCTCTCCTCCTCCCCATGCCATTTATTTCGAGTTTCGTGGCTTCTAGAGCCCTAGCCGCGTGCGCCGGGAAGCTCCACATCATCGGCAATGGCGACCGCCACCTCGGCTCTCTCCTCCGGCCGCCTTCTCGGCCTGGACGAGGTCGCGTGAACCCCCACTATCCCCTGGTGCCCTCGGTTCTTCGAACCATGGCCCGAAGGCCGAGTTCCACACGCGCCGGTGACCCTCTCGCCGCCGGCCATGGTTGAGCCACTGCGGCTGCCACTGTTCCGGCCGCTGCCTTCTCTCTCTCCTTCCCCACATCTAATCCGAGCCGTATATTCTTGATCCAACGGCTCACATAAGTCGATACCCCTTCGCGGGTGATTTTGCTAAAGAATCCCTCGAGTTTGGCCAAATAGAACCCGCCGTCCATAACACGTTTCCTGAGTACGCTTTCTCCTTTTGAAAACGTATAGTAAACTATTTTAGTCCAAAATACATTTTCAGTATTTACAGAAATGCCATTGCACTGTTTTGCTTATAAAATCGTCGTTATAGCTCCGATTTGACCCATTCAAATTTCGTTAGGTTCGCAATTAAGTTCTTTACATGTTAACACCATTGTTAACCCTGTTTGCAACATTTAAATTTTGAGGTTAGATTTAGTTAAATAAATTGCTATAGGAAATCCCGTTTAAATCATAACTTTCGCGTTTTAGCTCCATTTTTTGTGAACTTCGCGTTGACGTGATCGTAGCGAGACGTAGATTCTTTTTATAAACATTTTATCTTGTTTTCTTTACTGTTGGTGTACTGTTCTAACCATAGGATTGTTTGCTTTGCATGAATGTTCCTCTAATGTTGTATGTTGCCGTGTTGGTCGTGTTCAGACGGTGAGGAGAACGTTGGAGACCAAGAGTTCTTTGACGACCAGCATGACCAGCAGGAGTTTGCTAACCAAGGCAAGTATAGCATGGGATCTACCTTGATGCCTATTCACCATTTATTAATTACTCATTTGCATATGTCTAATTTTGATACCCGTAAGGACATCCTAGTGATTGATTATCCTGTTCCTTGTCTCCTATGGGTTATATGCATATGGGTAGTTTGCTAGTGCTCAATGTAAATGTACATAATCTACATAATGAATAATGGTTCTATGGAACGAAGAGGTAAAATTGGCTTTTAAACAACTGAATTATAGGGCGAAGGAGCGAATGACTTTCGATCATGATGCTCTCGGCCCTCCATAAGGACTCATCTGTCGGCAAAAGCTGGGACTGACAGTGCAACCGTGAGGGTCATATGGCTTTAACTTTAGCTCAGTAATAGGACCTTTTCTAGCTTGTTAGAGGTTACCTTTATGACACAAAAGGGGCTTGCCACGTTGGGTATAGGACTGCCTCTGTTCATATGTGTATAGCCGCGATGGATATGTGCCATAGGAAAGGGGGGTTCCTACATCTGCCTGCCGAGGAAACCGAGAGGCCCTAACTTGTTAGAGAAACCTATGAAATAGTTTCATAGTGTACCCTGTCCGCTCACCTTGGTAGTGATATGAGAGTAATTAACCCGGGCATATGGGAATCATGACTCGTGGTGAATGTGCACCACCTCTGCAGAGGGTTACAAACTGTTATAACAGCCGTGCTTACGGTCACGAGCGGCCCAGAAAACTCACAGAATAATTGGTTACTTATTGTTGTTCATTCATGATGTTATACGATGATAATATGATCCAAATGAATTTGATATCTGATTATGTGGGCTTAAATGGGAGCTTAAGCATAACTTGATAATAAAATCTTGACTTACTAAAAGTGCTAACTGCAGTAAACCAGTGTCATCCTTTTTGAGCTTCATAACCTCATGTTATCTTGTTAAGTACGGAAAGTACTTACGCTTGTTTACTTTCTATATTTGGATAAAAATCCCAGATGGATAACAGATGACAACGTGTATGAGGAGTTTCCTGAGGACTATTAGGCTTGTGGTCAACCAGTTGACCATCCCTGTGTTGGAGCTTCCACGAGAGAGCTATCTTTTTACTTTCCGCTGTGTTGTGTAAGACTAAGTTATGTTATTAATCGTGATGTAAGATACACTGTGATGATACTTTATATAATTTGTCAGCTTGTGTGTGTGACTGATCTCTGGGCACACATGAGTTTAGTGCATTCAATTTTATCCTTAAAATTGGGTGTGACAATCAATCACAATGAATACCAATGAAATCCTCGGAGACAAGATGACACAATGATTTTTCACTGAGGTTCACTTGCTTGCCGACAAACTAGTCCCCCGTTATGGCAATTCACTCACTTGGAGGTTCACGCGCTAATAGGCATCACATGCCTAACCCGCAATCGGGTGCCGCACAAGCAACACAAGATGAGGATCCACAAGCCACGAGCAATCCACTAGAGTACCTTTTGGCTCTCCACCGGAAAAAGGTCAAGAACCCCTCACAATCACCATGATCGAAGCCGGAGACAATCACCTTCCTCCGCTTGACGATCCTCGCTGCACCAAGCCGTCTAGGTGACGACAACCACCAAGAGAAACAAGCGAAATCCACAGCGAAACACAATCATCAAATGCTGCTAGATGCAATCACTCAAGCAATGCACTTGGATTCACTCCCAATCTCACAAAGATGATGAATCAATGATGGAGATAAGTGGGAGGGCTTTGGCTTAGCTCACTAGGTTGCTATGTCAAAGAAAATAGCCAACAGAGTGAGCTAGAGCCGGCCAAACAACTTAAATAGGGAGCCCCTTCAAAAAGAGCCATTGGCCCTTGGTTTGGGCAGAGATCGACACGACTGGACGCGCCAATCAATGTGACCGAACGAACCACCCTCAGCGTCCGGTCATGATTTTCCCTCTCTAGATGCTTAGTGGAAATGATCTGACTCTGGTTGGTGCGGCGTCAGGTGATGTGAGCGACGCGTACGGTCAGCGGCCCAGTGTGGGAGCGCGTTGTGATTGGCATGGCCCCTTTCGACGCCAATGACGCCTTCGTTTCCACCGTGTGCCTAGGAACTTTTTTTTACTTTGGTGTTTCTGTCCCTATTTCAGAGTCCAATGACGATTTTATCTTTTTTTTAACTTTATGATTTTACTCTTATTTTTTTTAAATGAAGCTCCCATTTACCCCTACTTAGGTAACACCCTCAGAAAAGGTTAGATTAAATGGCAAAAAGAAAAGAAAAAAAAGAAAAGACACGTAGGCCAAAAGACAGTGATACCCTTAGTCCCTTTCTCCCTTCCTCACTCGAACTGTTCGGCTCCCAAAGTCCCGAACCAGAGTTGCGGCTCGTCACTCGTGTTAGGGTTTCTCTCGGCGGCGGCGCGGATCCTCCTCCCTCCGCTCCGCTCCCCCCTAGGTCGTGACCGTGGCTCCTCCTCCTTCCGCCCCTCTCCCCCCGGCGGCGCAGGTACCGGCTGGGGCGCCGCGCAGCCTGCGGCGAGCCCGACCCATCGCCTCAGCTCGCGCCCGCCGGATGGGAGGCCTGCTGCGCGGATGAGGCGGCGCAGTTAGAGGACGGCAGGGCGCGGGCACGGGAGGCTGCCGGCGCGGTCCCGAGTGGCCGCGGTCTGCTGCGCGGGCGTGGACCACCGGAGACGCGAGAGGCCTGCTGCACGGGCATGGGCTGCTCGGGCATAGACGGCCTGCAGCTCGACGCCGCTGTGGTGGCTGGCCTGCTGCGTGGGCTGAGGCAGCCTGCGGCTTGGCGTGGGCGTAGGCTGGAGAAGCGCATGTGCTAAATAAAAGTAAGACATCGTGGTCTTGCAGAAATCGATATGATTTCAAGCTTGTTATCGATGAGATTAGCTAGCAGCATCCGTGTGGTGATTTCTAATGGGCAAACTGAAACAGAGGGGTTATATGTATCTTCAGTGTAGTTCTAGATATTCAGTTGTGCAGAGTGTAGTTCTAGAAGAAAGACGGTGCAGTCGTGCTGTCCAAATTTTGGTTGAATTTTAAAAAATAGTAGATATGTTCTCCAAATAAACTGTGTTTGTCTGAATTTTGGCATATATGCTGTCTAAATTTTCAAATTTTGACAAATTTTGTTCAGATTATAATACTAAAACGAATTCATAAATTTGTGTCTAATTTTGATGTCAGCGTCCCTACAAAATATGTCAAAACTTTAATATCAAAACTGGGGTAAAATCACAATGCACTCTTAGAAAGCTGGGGTAAAATCACATGGGTTCATTCGTCCAAGAGTTAACACTGTTAAAGGGACATCACTGAGTAGGGGTAGACTCTTCCTTCAGTTTAAAAACATAGGAGTAAAATCACAAAGTTAAAAAAAACGAGGACAAAATCACCATTTCACTTCAAAACAGAGGTAGAAACACTTAAGCCCCTTTTTTCGGTAATGCTGTGACGTTGGGACACACCCATTGTTGTGGGCCGCGATAGCCCGACAACCCACTGCATCTTACCCTCAACATTTATATAAACAAAAAAACCACTCCAGAACGTTCGCAGCCTGGCTTCACTCGACTCACGTGACCTCCACTCGCTGCTGCTACCACAGATTACGGCGTGGTCCACTCCGAACTCTCCCCGCAGGTCGCAGCCATGGTGGAGGACGCCCCCAATGCTGTCGCTGAGGGCAGCCAGCCCGTGACCCCTGAGGGATCTGCCAATGCTGCCCCAGTGGCTGCCACGAGCGCCAAGGCTGCAGAGGTGCTACTCCCGTCGCTCAGCATCTGGCCGCCGTCTCAGCGCACGCGCACCGCCTTGTGCAGATGCTCGCGGTGCCCAGCGTCCTCTCTCAGATCTACAGTGCCGTCCTGAAGCCTGATGCCGAGCGCGCTGCCGCGGCTGTCGAGGCCGAGGCCTTCGCCGCCACCTCCAAGTCCGTCGCCGCCGAGTTCCCGGCCTTAGTCGAGGAGGGGGCTACCCGTAATTCCACACCAGGTAGGCCATGACCGCGGGCGACATCGTGTTTAAAGTGTTTCAGGCGTTTATACTTATGTTTCAAGTGTTTCATTTGAATGTTGCAAAAGGCGACCTGGGATGTTGCAATGACAATATACGCATGTTGCAAACATATGTTTTCAAGTGTTTCAGTTGTTTCAAAAGTATGTTTCATGTTTCATCATGATGTTGCAGAAGTATATCAGGATGTTGCATAACATGCATGTTTCAAAACGCATATTTCAAGTGTTTCTGGTGTTTCATACGTATGTTGCAAAGTGTTTTATCTGGATGTAGCATATGATGCTATGCGCTATACACGCATGTTTCAAGAGCATTTCAAGTGTTTCATCTGTTTTTAGTCGTATGTTGTAAGTGTTTCAACTAGATGTTTCAAAAGTAGATCTAGGGGAGCGCATGTAGCAGTGGTGAGGCGGGCATGGGGGAGGTGCGCTTGGCTGGATGTTCGGCCACACATCTGCGAGTTGCGGGGGATGAGGTGCTCCGTGTGGGCCGCACGGGCGAGCACGCGTTTTACGCTAAGCACGGGCTAGGCAACTATATATAATATCGTCAGTGGCGGGTACGGCGTGGGCGTCTGGACGCGTGCTTTTGTCCGGACGTCCGGGCACTAGACCCTCTTTTTTTGATCAGATACAACTTGCACGCACACAACCCATATACTCCACACTCACACCACACGGATACACACGCGTGCTCGTCCATACATACACAAAGAAGAGTTTGGGAGGCTCTCTAGCCTCTAGTGCGTAGCAAATGCATAGTACTACTGAACGTGCGCGCGCGTGTACCGACACTAGGGTTTGAACCCTGATGGATAGCGTTCCACTGGACAACCCTACCACTAGACTGGCACATTAGCGTTTGCCTAGGAACTTGGCCGTGTGGGGCCAGAGGTTCAACAACAAAGGAGTACACGAAAAACGTACAAATCTTGGTTTCATATGTTTGTTGACGTGAAGAATTTAACTATAGTTTTTTTCAATAATATATGTTGTTTAGAATTTAAGTGTACTTCTATCATTTTAACTAGAACTATTTGAAATACTAGATGTGCGAGGAAAATATTTTTTAGCTACAAAGAAATATTTGTATGAGTACACGCTGGCATTTCAAGATCATACACAGATTGGAAGGAGAAATTAAAATATTTGTACTACTTTACATGACAAACTTTTTAGTTACTTACTTAATATTTTCTTAAAAATTGATAAAACTTGAATCTTGTATAAAAAAATCTGAAATTTGGTTGGGACCACAATACATCCTTATAAAATGCCTAAAATGTTTCACCTCGTAATTCTTTATGTACTTGTTTCCTAGTGACACTCTTAAGCATATTCGTCTGAAGTATTAAATAATGTAGATGTTCACTAATAAATGACTATGGACAATTACCAATAGCTTTCATGTTCTTTAGCTGGGTGTGTGGACGATGACAATAACGTTTATTATTACGAAATCACATATTTTAAGGTCTTGTTCAGCTAGGCTCTTCCGGACTCTAGCTCCACGCCACAATACCGGAGGAGCATAAATGATGGCCTCTCCCGCCTCCATGTTCATTTTGGCAGGAGAGAGAAAAATGCTTCTTTGAACAGTGTTGTTAATAACTTAATATTCTGTGCTAACAACCTTGATGTGAACATTATTAATTTCCATGTGCTTATTGATATATTTGTATGTCCTCGAAATTGGTTTGAAATTATTGTAATTGTTCGAATGGGCAAGGCCTAGGAGAGAGGGGATGATTTAAGCTTTGAATAAGATGGTATCTATAGGCGAAAACAAATATGGCATGAACAACAGGTAGGCAAAACAAAAAAGTGAAAAACGATGTGTTGCAAATTGGGCCTCAATTGGTTCAGGAAAAACCACATTGGGCCTCAAACCTAATCAAAATGGAAGCACAAATCTTCCCATATATGCAGTCAACATGGCCCCCAAATGTTAGTCACTTTTTACTTCCAAACAAGACGTCCGCTTCTCAGCAAAGGCAAACAAGCCACAGCTTTATTACGCTGTCATATTTACAAAGATTCATCATTTTTATTGTGTTTGGTGATGATTCACGTTTAGGTTATGTTAGGATCCTCTAATCAGTAACAGTAAGATAAGGCTCTAGGTATTTGCTCATACTTCATATTTAATCTTTCGGTAAGTTACAGTATCTCCTGTGTAGTGCATCTTAAATTTAATAGATAATTTCTACCGACATTATTGTTAAGGCTTACATGGGACCGCCCAAACACCCCTTTGCCAACATGCTGCTTAATTGCATTGGCTGCTTCATATGTTAATATATATAAGGTTCTAGTTTTTTTTTTTTTGAGAGGAAGGTTCTAGGTATTTGATCAACCTTCATATTGTATTTTTCGGTAAAAGTTACATTATCTCCTCTCGTCCATCTCAACTCTGGCCTGTTTGGATCCCATGAATTGAAACCGATATCTATAAAGTGCTTCTCATTTCATTATTAAATTGTTTTGCAATCCCTCTCAATTCCTGTAACAAAACAGGGCCTAATAGATAATTTCTTTCCGACATATATTGTTGTTATGTCTTTCATGAGACTGGCCAAACACTCAGCTACATCCTTCTCCAATTCATATGTTAATATAAGCATATTGCCAAAAGTTTTTACCAATATACTTCTACACTATATACATGATTTTAATTATTTTGACAATGCAACATTATTTTAATTATTTACACAACATATTATTTTGATTATATACACTCGGATTAACAAATTTTAACTCAGACAATGTATGGTTCTGCACACAATACTGCTTTGTGCGCGCTACTGTTAACGCGCACAAGGCCACCCCGCCTGCTAACCTGAGATGGGCTCAAAGTTGGGCTGTAACAGGAAGGCCGGCTCGTGCAAAACACCAAGAGTGCGTATGGAACAGCTGTCAGGACCTGTTTGGAACAAAGGAATGCAAAAAAGAGAAATGGAAAAAAAAACACAGGAATATAGTAGAGTGAAAGGTGAAAAACTAAGGTATTTCAAAACGCATGAATAGATACTTTTTGGATTGCAGGAATAGGTTTAGATCATCACATGTCTCTAAGCAGCGATTATAGCCATTGATCCATCCTAACCTGGTTTAGGTGCTCTTCAAGTCATTTGGGATATTGTTTTTTAATTCATCTATAAGCATATTAGTCTCTTTACTTGACCGTTCTCTCTCTCCTATATGTTTCTAACTTTTTTTATCGTCCTGAGGTCTGGCCTTTCTCATCTTCCTGACCTTTTTTCATCACGACGGCGGTGTGGGCACATGGCTGGCGTGAGCCCGAGAGGCTGCAGCGGTGCAGGCGACAGTGTGACAGTGTGAGTGCAAGCGCGAATGGTCACAGCGGCGCAGACGACCGCGACGGCACCACCAAGGATGCGCGATGGGCGGCGAGTCACAACCGCAGGCCCGTGATGAGCGAGCCACCAAGCAAGCCATTAGATTTTGATTGAGTTTGAGTGGATGTTTTTTTTCCTACGTTTTGTATAGCATAGGAATCCTTTCCTTTGGAATAGGATGCATCTTTCCTCAATTCCAAACAGCAATCTTTAAAAACTTTCCATAGGAATGCATTCCTTTAAATTTTCTTTGTGATTCCTCCGGTCCAAACAGGGCCTGAGCCCACGAACCCACAAACCCTGTTTTTTTTTGTACTGAATGAACGACAGAGCAGGTTGGCATCACGGGGCTCAAAGCTTCTGACATCACAGCATTGGCAACGGCCTAAATCTCATCAAGCATCGGGTCTGCTACCTCCCTCCTCACAAGCAGATGCAACAAGGCACAACAAGCGCCAAGGTCAATTTCCTCCAAGCTAGGTCCAGCACGAAATCCAGAGACGGGGGTAGGCGTGCGCTAAGGCACCGCTGAAATCTCATGGATTCTGGGATGTGACCTTGCCTTCCCATACATGCCCGCCAAGCAACACACACCTAAAAGGTCTTAATGGCTAGAGATGGTTGAATAGCCTATTAAAAATCTACAACAACACTTAAGCCAAGTAATTAGTCAATTAAACAGCGAAACGAGTGTTGCGCTAGCCTACTAAACATGTAAGCCTCCTATCCATAATTCTAGTTATTATGATCTCTATTTCACACACAAGAGACTATGTCACCACCACTAAGTTAGTGAGCTGCCAAAGACTAACTAAAGAGCCTCACTAACCACTAGACAAGACACAAGCTAGCTCTCAAAACTAATTACACTAAAGAGCTTAGCTACACTACAAATATAAGTACAAGGGTGAGGTAGTAAAGATATACCGACGTGGCAAGCGACAAACAATCAATCACAATGAATACCAATGAAATCCTCGGAGACAAGATGACACAATGATTTTTCACTGAGGTTCACTTGCTTGCCGGCAAGCTAGTCCCCGTTGTGGCGATTCACTCACTTGGAGGTTCATGCGCTAATAGGCATCACACGCCTAACCCACAATCGGGTGCCGCACAACCAACATAAGATGAGGATCCACAAGCCACGAGCAATCCACTAGAATACCTTTTGGCTCTCCGTCGGGGAAAGGTCAAGAACTCCTCACAATCACCACGATCGGAGCCGGAGACAATCACCTTCCTCCGCTTGACGATCCTCGCTGCACCAAGCCGTCTAGGTGGCGGCAACTACCAAGAGAAACCAGCGAAATCCGCAGCGAAACACAATCACCAAATGCTTCTAGATGTAATCACTCAAGCAAAGCACTTGGATTCACTCCTAATCTCACAAAGATGATGAATCAATGATGGAGATGAGCGGGAGGGCTTTGCCTTAGCTCACTAGGTTGCTATGTCAAAGAAAATAGCCAAGAGAGTGAGCTAGAGCCAATCA